CAGCCAGAGACACCAGACGATGGCTGCTCAGAGTCCCTTTTTGGCAAGATAGTTCTCATAACCATGTAATATGCACTAAAAGAATTAAAGAACATTATTCATAAGCATGAAATATTTGATAAACCTACCTTGCGAATTTGACTATTAGGAAAATCTTCATAAGAATCCGACTGCCCTAAGTTAGACTTTGATTCTCTAGAAGCTGCCACTTGTTGATGACTTTGAGATGACAGCACCTTTTCTTTAGGTGAAGCAGGTTTAGGAGACAATTTTCCTGACTTAATTTCAGAAAGAACATCCCCTTTCAGTAGGGTGCCGTAATGACCAGTTGCATTCAATGTTGATGCGTCCAATCCATACTCTGCAATTAGCAACTTCGCAGCTGGGCTGATTCGTGCTATTTTGGTTTTTTGAGCTTTGACCTCACTTTTAGTGTCATGTTGGGGGGCCTTCTGTTGGTTTGTTGAACTGCTGTTAACAGAATTCTTTATAGCTTCAATGTCACTTGCATCTTCAACCTTATAGAAGAGCAAGTAAGGTAAGTATTTTTCGTGTACTTCATTGCTCTTCATAAAAAACCAAGGGCCAGCAATTTGGTAAGCCAACCAAAAAATTTATATGATATTGTCAGATTTTGTTAGTTTCCATTTCAAAAGACGCAAAAATTGTTGGACCTCAATCCTCACCCAGGCTCATTTCACATTCCACTGGGAGAAAATTACAAAATTGCACAAAATGCTTTCACACACTTACTGTTATTGCAATAGGGTGCCCAACTGCCACTTCTTTCGAACCTTCTGGAGCAAGTATCTTAGCCAGGTACCTAGTACCCACCACCACCATGCAGAATTAAATTAGTTGGCTAGAAGGTGAAACTTTACCAGGAAGGAAGGAGTAGTACAAATAGAGCTCATGTGTAAAATAATCAACTAGAATGGATGCATTGTACTAAAAAATTGTCAGAAATTTGAGACAAAATTAACCAGATTATGAACAAAAGAGATTGCAATCCACCACGAATTGAGACAGTGAGACCCCATTCTCAGGTGTTACTTTTAGCAGAACTTTAATTTTTGCATGATGCAAATTAAGCAGTACAAGTCTTGTCTATAAACACTTTGGTGAGACATAGGAGATATAATGAATATACTTACTATCCATATGATATGGCCCAACCCAAGTCTTTGTCACAATAAATAAATGGTTAGGATGAAACACCATTGCCAAATAACTCTATCTTACAATAATTCAGCGTGTTGCAGTACAGACTGTAAACAACCATACCAAGCAGACAGAACATTTACAATGAACAGCTTGCAGTATAAGGAAAGACTATTACCCCTCTTCAAGAGTTTCAAATTCAAGTGTAGCTTTGTCTGTCTCTATCTCACACAATATATCACCCACTTCAATCTGTTAGATAACTTAAATGTTATTGCATACCAGACAACAAAAAAGGGCATTAACGACTCACATTTTTCATTTTTTAAAATATTAAAAAATTTATGCAAAATAGGACCTCTACTAGAACATTAGGTTTAAACATAACTAACCTTGTCTCCTTCTTGTTTTCTCCATTTAGCAATGTTACCTTGGTTCTGTACAGTAAAAAAGAAAAGAAAATGAAGAATAGTGCCTCCATGGAAGTAAAGAAACTTAATGTCTTCAAGCAATAGTTACAACAAATAGCATCAAAATTCTCACCATTGTCGGAGACAAAGCTGGCATTTCAAGAAGGGCATGAGGAGGAAGTTCTGATGCATTAATCATAGTAGAAGTTGATTCTGGTTTCTTCTCATCTGTAACATCCTGCTGTGCTGGTTTCGTCTCTTCAACCTGACCCCCCACAGAAGCAGGAACATTTTGGATGTCCTTTTCATCCTCAACCTTGCAATGTCCATAGTTAGAGCTTACATTAATCAGATACTTAAAATTCACAAATTGATTAAACCCCACAAACTATTGGTTTGAAATCAACTGATTAATGATGACTATATGACGGACAAGTTATTAGATTTATGATTTACCAGAATACGAAATTACCACATTTTTAAAATGGATGGTAGAAACTGAAAACTGAAGTTAACTTTTACGTCCTTCCAATTTGCATGTAAATTTCAATGTTCTTTAAGCCATTAATATTGTGTGTGATATTTTTTTATTAAATTGGTGCCAAAAGCTTCAATAGAACAATGTTTTAGATAATGTGAGCACAAAATTGATAAGTTCTATGAGACCCTTAGAAACCAGAAAGCGCAAATTGAAATATGCAAGGAAAATGACTGAGACAATTTTACAAAAACTGATGAAATATATCCAATGCGAACAAAAGGTCGTGAAGGAAAAACAATTATATATATTAGTTTGTCCGTAAAAGTTACTTTCTTTAGCAAAATGAAAGTTCCATATAACCTTAATAATGCAAGAATCGGAATTTAGTAATGACTTACTGTTATAGCAATTGGTTGTCCAACAGGCACATCCTTTGAACCTTCAGGTACCAATATCTTAGCCAGAAATCTGCAGGAATCAGTCAATTACCACAACAGATATATTATATTGGTGTACTGAAATTTGCATCTCTCATGATCCACACTCGTCAGTCAAGTATATAGAACCCTCATATATATTAAATGAAAAAAAAAACACAATCAGAAAATAAAGATAATCAATTCTTACACTTCTTGGCCTAAAATGGACATTTATGCATAAGACATGCACAAAAAGACAGAAGACGACTAAGTAGAAAAACAATTGGTAACTACAACAACTCATGAGTGGTTTTCTGCATATTTTACGTTAAGGATTAAATGCGTATTGTGCTTGACAGCTACCTCTTCTTTTCTTTCTCCAATAAAATGTAATGTTTTTTGAAACTAGTTTCAGAGCACCAATAAATCTTTTAAGCTTTGATCTTTGTCATTTTCTTGTAGAGCACATGCATAGCTATCGGCAGTAAGTAGGGAATGGTTCACGCTGTTTTATACCCCCTTAGGCTTCAAATGAAAGACTATACTAAAATTATTAAAGACATTATCAGGCCCATTTAAATTCAAACAGAACAACTTACATAACTTCCTAAAGACCTTTAACATGGAGATCCTTTCCGGTAGGTCTCTCCAAAATTATTGACCAACAATGCTTCTGATTTTTTAATTACCGCTCAGAAAGAAGTGGAACAAATATACTACTTTTCTAGATGAAAAAACTCAAGTGCATACAGCGTAAGTCACAGGTCATGAAAAACATAGGAAGAAAAAATTTTAAAGGAAGAAAAAGAAATTACCCCTCTTCAAGACTTTCAAATTCTAGCGTAGCTTTGTCAGTTTCAATTTCACATAGTACATCCCCCACTTCTATCTGTTAGATTAATCAATAGTAATGTGAAAATGATTAATTAATTCAAAGAATACAATCTCCAAAATGAAAGCATCACACAACCAGAATAGTGATCTATAACCATCAAAATATAAGAACTATATACAAACTGACCTTTTCTCCTTCTTTCTTCCTCCATTTTGCAATATTACCTTGCGTCTAAAAACCAAAAGGTTAGGTCACCAACAGTCGTCCATGGAAGCACAGAACAGAACACAAATAAAACAGAGAAAAAAATGTTCCCAAGCTTACCATTGTAGGTGATAAAGCTGGCATCCCAAGGACTTCGTATGAAGATTCTATGAAGGGAGAAGTTATTAGGACATAACCATTCCATTATGACATAAATATGCAGACTACCCTCTTTAATAACTAGAGCAACAAAACTAAAGATTAAAGATTGATGACAGAAAACTATTGAGATCAACAGAATACACAGATGATGAGAATCTTTAACAAAAGTAGAGAAACGAAAAAACAGAAATGGGACAAGAAAGTCTTGCGTTGAGTACACAANTGAAAATGATTAATTAATTCAAAGAATACAATCTCCAAAATGAAAGCATCACACAACCAGAATAGTGATCTATAACCATCAAAATATAAGAACTATATACAAACTGACCTTCTCTCCTTCTTTCTTCCTCCATTTTGCAATATTACCTTGCGTCTAAAAACCAAAAGGTTAGGTCACCAACAGTCGTCCATGGAAGCACAGAACAGAACACAAATAAAACAGAGAAAAAAATGTTCCCAAGCTTACCATTGTAGGTGATAAAGCTGGCATCCCAAGGACTTCGTATGAAGATTCTATGAAGGGAGAAGTTATTAGGACATAACCATTCCATTATGACATAAATATGCAGACTACCCTCTTTAATAACTAGAGCAACAAAACTAAAGATTAAAGATTGATGACAGAAAACTATTGAGATCAACAGAATACACAGATGATGAGAATCTTTAACAAAAGTAGAGAAACGAAAAAACAGAAATGGGACAAGAAAGTCTTGCGTTGAGTACACAAGAGAGAGAGAGAGAGAAATAAGGTCAAAATATAACCAACAGTGAGTTTTTTCTATCGGTTCGCACAGCATGACCCATGAGTTCATGGGCCTAAGGCTCAAAAAGATTCGCCCATCCCACAAAATTGTAATTATCCCAACAGTCCTGCTCTGGTCCCACAAACTGGTCTGGGGTTGGACAGGACTTAAACTTCGTGTCAGTGACAATTTGTTAGGTTCCTTTACTCGAGGAACCAAACAGTAGCCTCTCTTCTCACACACACACTCAACAGTAGAAGATTAATTATATGTATATGTATTTTATTCAATCAATAATGTATAGAAAGAAGAAAATACAAGTAAATGTTCCCCAAGGAAGCCTCCCTTCCTCCACTGGCCAAGAGGTCCAATCTAAACCCAAAATAATATTCGATATCCTCTCTCCCCCATTCTGTTTATTATTTATACTCTCTCTCTTCTAACAAATTAACCACCTTTCCCGCCTCTAGTTCTCTCCCCTCTTATTCTTCCTCACGTAAACCTTTAATTGTCTAACAGTTTGACGTGGGGATGTTGGAATATATAAAAATATGATTAAGTTTGTAATGCATGTGTTACCTAGTTTTATTACAGAATTCAGCTTCTGCTGTAATGATCGCCTAAGTTTTGAATGCAAGATGGGCTTTTAAGTCTATTGTAACAGACTCGCTGCCAGCATACACTTCAAACTGCAGCGAAATTACAGATGGTCTAACTACAAGCTATTAGGTCTTTTATGAATAGCTAACTCTATATTGAAGACTCACTTTCGTAATCTCTCTTTTCCGGATAGCAAGTTTGCATCACAGAATTATAAGACTTTCCTTTCATTTCAGTCATTTTCTTGGATCACTATTTTGCAATAACATTGCATCATTCAGTGGCAAAGATAACTTCTGATAGTTTATTTCAAGCCACGACTACTCTTCAACAATGGTCTCATTATCAACTCGAAGTAAAAAATGCTTTCCTCAATGGAGATTTGCAGGAAAAAATTTATATGGAGCAATCTCCTAGATTTGTTGCTCAGAGGAGTCTTTAGGATTAGTATATTGTCTTCTCAAATCTTTATATAACCTAAAACAGTCTTTTAGGGCCTGGTTTGGAAAATTTAGTAGCTTTGTTAAACAATTTGGTATGACTCGAAGTGAGGTAGATCATTCAGTCTTTAACCGCCACTCAAATGTTAGACGTGTCAATTTGATAGTATATGTTGATGACAATGTTCTTACAAGCAGTGATCACCGTGGCAACTTCTAGATGAAACAACACCTTTGCCAATGATGGTATTGTTATCTCTCAAAGGAAGTATGCATTGGATATTTTGGGGGAAATTAGGTTAATGAATTCAAAATTTGTTGACACACCCATGGATCCGAATACCAAACTCCTACCAAATCACGGGAAGCCTATTTCAAATCCTGAGCAGTATAGAATATTGTTTGGGAAATTAAATTACCTTACAGTTATTCACCCAGACATTCCTTTGCAGTTAGTGTGGTGAGCCAATTTTTCAATTTCCCAAATGAAAATCATTGGAAAGCAGTCATTTGTATATTAAAGTGCATTAAAGGATCTCTTGAAAAATGTTTGTTATATGGTTCCAATAACCATATAAAAGTTGTTTGCTATTCAGATATTGATTGGGCAGAATCTCCTTTTATTAGAATATATCTACTTTCGGGTATTGTGTTTCCATTGATGGTAACTTGATCTCTTGGAAGAGTAAGAAACAAAGTGTTGTAGTAAGATCTAGTGCAGAAGCAAAATATAGAACTATGGTCTCAANCCAAATCACGGGAAGCCTATTTCAAATCCTGAGCAGTATAGAATATTGATTGGGAAATTAAATTACCTTACAGTTATTCACCCAGACATTCCTTTGCAGTTAGTGTGGTGAGCCAATTTTTCAATTTCCCAAATGAAAATCATTGGAAAGCAGTCATTTGTATATTAAAGTGCATTAAAGGATCTCTTGAAAAATGTTTGTTATATGGTTCCAATAACCATATAAAAGTTGTTTGCTATTCAGATATTGATTGGGCAGAATCTCCTTTTATTAGAATATATCTACTTTCGGGTATTGTGTTTCCATTGATGGTAACTTGATCTCTTGGAAGAGTAAGAAACAAAGTGTTGTAGTAAGATCTAGTGCAGAAGCAAAATATAGAACTATGGTCTCATCCACTTGTGAACTTGTTTAGCTTAACCAATTGCTTAGAGAGTTACAATATGGAGATGTCACTCAAATGACACTTTTATGTGACAATCTGCTCTTCATACCAGTTCTAATCTTGTCTTCTATGAGAGAACCAAATACATTGAGATTGACTACCATTTCATTAAAGAAAAGATTGTATCTAGAGATATCAAGACTTAATTTGTCAACTCAAATGATCAATTAGCTGATATTTGCACTAAATTTTTACGGAGACCGAGAATTGATTTTATTTGTAACAAGCTTGGTATATACGATTTATATGCACCAACTTGAGGGGAAGTGCTACATATATTGCGTTTTATGTTAATTAGGGAAACATAGTCCCTATGTTAATTATGTTATTTTTACATATTCATTTGTATTTGAACTTACCCCCACATTCTCATTATTATAAATACATTACCCTATGTGTATTTTCTATACAAGAGAGATTAATCTTATACCTGATTTTACTATATTCAATACAAACCTCTAAAAAAACAAATAGACATCTAACACACATATGCCATACTCTTTCAACTTAAAACGCTAACACAGCATGGCAGTAATTCACACGAGATCTCCAAAATAGGAGAGTCTATAATCAGGTGTAGAAAAAATAATCAAATAAGAGAAGCACACAAGAGGTTGAATGAAGCAAAAAGTAAAACAGTAAAGTTGGAAAATGAAACATTAAGTACCTGAAGATGAAAAGTATTTGACATCAGTCCACTGCCAAAAAAAGTTAAAAGTTGTCAGAGAATATCATAGTAATGATTGGAATTTTTATCCATTTAAATGCTAACCTTTGACTTCATAGACCTATCATTAATTCCAGTAATCCCTGAGCAAGATGTGGGTCTGATAAACATCACCATCAGTAAACGACAATGATATATTAAATTAAAATACAAGAAGACAGATTGATGTGCAATATGTATGTCATGTCTAACAAAGAGAATGCCAATCCCACCTCCCACGTGCCGGAGAGAATGTCTGGCCAACCTATGAAGTTCAATTTGGCCACTTCGTACTGATACTTACTATGCTAAGGTGATGATTAGCCATAAGTTATACATATCACTTTGGTCACATGTGGGAAATCCTACATACACTCCTAACATCGATTACATCTCACATAAAATTTACATAACTAAACATTTGCAAGTAGTCTAATAATCTCAATAACGATCATTATGATAGGCTGTGATACTATTTGAGAATCTGTTGTTCGTAACTCTCAAAATCTAGCTCAACTCAAGAGAAGAAGGTTTCCCCACTTACATACAACATTTTTGCCATGTCACTAGTTTACTAGGGATCTCCAACATAATAAGATATTCTCTATCTTTTTGTTTAAACTAAGACTCCTCGTCATCTTAAAAGTTCAAACTAGTGCCGTAAGCAAGAATGCAAAGCAGATTAAAATGAATCTAACTTCACACAGAATGAGAATAGAAAAGAAAAACAGGGAAGCTGGCAATGGATGCAAACCTTATACTCGATTGAGCTGCCGCGGAAAAAATCGTTGAATTAGAAGTTCTGTGGAGAAAAATACAAACCGAAATTGAAAGTTAGAAGCAGCATTATTAGATGATGAATAGAAAAGCACGAAATCGGAATTACAGAAAATAGCGTACCGAGAGAGGGATCTGGTGGAAGAAGAGAGGATACGAAGGGAGCGAGAGAAGAGAGGGTGGCGAAGGCGCGAGAGTGCCATATGCGCCGATCGATTCGATTCAGAAGAGAAGAAAAGAGAAGAGAGAATGGTGACGACACCAAATTGGAACTCTTCTCCGGCTACTTACTTTCTCTGAATGGAATACAATTCTGAAGACGCGAGCCATGGGTAGGTGGCTATTGGTTTATTCAATGTACACACGTGCACACTGCGCCCGTGCCAGCCACCGTTAGCGGCGTTCTCCACACACCGGTCATTTTCTTTTATAACTTTTTAATAATTTTACTAAATTATCAAATTAATAGACAACTTTTTATATTTTCCTTAAACTTTTAAGGCCAAATTCATGAATAAATTCGAATGTATAAAGGTTTTCATTGAATCAATATTTAATTTGATTATTTGTTCATATAAAACCTAAATACTTAATTAAGTTACTTATATAATCATGTTTGTATTTTAATATTTCCTCCTATTCTCAAACTCACCTTGTTTTCTTACCATTCTCAAGTTAAGACCACACACAACACGTAAAAGATATGTTTATGAAAAGAAAATATACTTATCTACTAATTTAATAATATAAGTTAATAATGTAGATTGAAATGTTAAATTAAAAATAAATTTAATTAAAATAGTATTTCCTTTGATGAATGTCAACTTATCACTGCTAAAATGATTGTTAATTTAAGAATTTACAGATCATAAATCTATTCGTTTAGTATATTATTATTTATTTCCATATCCACGTTTATCTTTGTTATCCAGAAAACATCGATGTGCTTTCCAGAAAGATGATTCCGGAAGGGTGAAAATTGAGAACTATAGCTTGATTTCATTCCTTCCTTCATAAATTGCTTTCCTTGTTGCGACATTCAACAAATTCGGAGCTTGATCTTTTGTTGAATTTGTAGAATATTTTCCGTAATTCTTGGTGTTGTGGATGTGATGTGTTTTTTGAGAAATGATATTTTGAAATACATATATCTTTTATGTTAATTTATATTTTTTTCTTTTTATTTTGAAAAAAAATATAAAAAAATATTTTTTATGATAAATTATCTTTCTAATATATATCAAATAAATATAAATATGTGTCATCTTATCTTATAATTACTTTGTGTTTTTTTGAAGAACAGCCACAGTTTTAGTGGGCAGCTGAAGAGAAAGAGGATTGGGTTAAGATTTAAAACTTCCATGAGGATACTCTTGACGTTTCCTTATTGATAGGGTGCATGTCAAATTTGAGGGTGTGCTGGAAGCAATTTGCTAAGAGGAAATTAGTATCTATGAAATAGAAAAAAAAAAAATAGTGTTTCATCTACACCTCCAACATCTTATCTACACTTCTATAAATTCCATTTTTAATCTTTTAATATCTCAACTTATATTTCTAACTTTTCTAAAAATTTTATTTTTTAATAAATATAATTTTATTTTCTTCTCTCTTATTAAAAACACTTTAATAAATATCTTTTTATTCTTTTCTCTTTCTTATTAAAATCCTTCTTACACTATCTTAATAATAATCTAATTTAATTTTAAATATTATTTAATATAATTTTATATTTTAATAATTATTAAAATATGATTTATATTATATTAATAGTTATATTAAAAAAATAAAAATTAAAAAATGAAATTATAATAATAGTAATAATAATAATACAAAATTTGATTTGATATATTAAAATATATTAAAATATTAAAATAAATTAAACAATTATTAAATTTTAAATAGAAGCAAAAATTTTAAATATGGTAACAGTTTTGTTTTTTATTTAAAATTTAATAAATATTTCATTTAATTGAAAATTATAATATTATTTATTATATTTTTATATTTTAATAATTATTAAAATATAATTTAGATTTTTATAATAGTTTTATTAAAATTAATAAAAATAATATTAATAAAAATAATAATAATAATAATAATCAAAATAAAAATAATATTTAAAATCACATTTAATATATTTAAATATGTTAAATGATATTAAATTATTAAATTAAAAAAAGTAATTATTAAAATTAAATAAAAAACAAAATTTTAAAAAAAAGTTAATCGGATATTCCGCTCTTATATATTATCGGATTTCTATGTCCGATTAACAAATTTTAAAGTTGTTTTTTATTTAAATTTTAATAATTATTTAATTTAATTTAATATTTCAATATAATATAATATATTTAAATATCTTTAACGTCATCTTAAATACTATTTTTATTTTTATTATTATTACTTTTATTTTAGTTATTTTATTTTACATTTTTAATAAAATTATTATAAAATATAAATCATATTTTAATAATTATTAAATTATAAAAATATAATAAATAATAATATTATTTTAAATTAATTAAATATTTATTAAATTTTAAATAAAAAACTATTAGCATATTTTACGCTATCCAATAAACAAGCCTTTTAAAAATTTTGTTTTTATTTAAAATTTAATAACTACTTAATTTATTGTAATATTTTAATATAATCAAATTTTATATTATTTTTATTATTATTTTATTTTTTATTTTTTATTTTTATCATTATTATTTTTATTTTATTTATTTTTTTAATATAACTATTATTATAATATAAATCATATTTTAATAATTATTAAAATATAAAATTATATTAAATAATATTTAAATTTTAAATTAAATTAAATTATTATTAAAGTGGTGCAAATAATTTTAATAAGAAAGAGAATAAAATAAAAATATATTTATTAAAAAGTAAATTTTTTAGAAAAGTAGAAGATACAAGTTGAGATGTTAAAAAGTTAAAAATGTCATTTTTAGAGAAACATATTAGATATTTGGAATGTAGGAAGAAAGACTAAAAAAAATTGAAGGGTTTTGGTTTAGGAAGAAACACTAAAAAAAATTGAAGGGTTACAGGATTTGTGTTTCTAACCTGAAAATTCAAAATTTAAAAATAAAAAATCTATACGTATTTATTGTGCTGAAATTCATACGCTCAAATCAATGTAACGTAATATGCGGTAATAAATATGAGAGTTAATAAATTGTGTGCATCTAATAAAGTGTATTCTATTTATTGTAGTTTAATATACTTTTACTTTAATGAACTTATACTAATATGATCCTAAGTGTTTTAATTGTTACTTAACCTTCATTTTTCTCTATTAACATGATATTTAGGTAAGTATTTAAACGATGTCCGTTTTGTGCGAACAACGTCATCTAAGCTCTATCCTATATATTACACATATCATTTACAAATGAGTAATTTCATCATAAGGAAATAATAAGTTGTCTCTCCCAATGATGGTATTTTATGCCTTATATCATGTATTGTTGTTACAAATTTAAGAAAGATTTTGTTTTTTATACTAAACTAGTATTAGAACCGTACCTACCGTTTTTTTTTAATTGAGTAGTATGATTATTATTATATTTTAATAATATTATTTAAAGAATAATTCNAGAAAAGCACGAAATCGGAATTACAGAAAATAGCGTACCGAGAGAGGGATCTGGTGGAAGAAGAGAGGATACGAAGGGAGCGAGAGAAGAGAGGGTGACGAAGGCGCGAGAGTGCCATATGCGCCGATCGATTCGATTCAGAAGAGAAGAAAAGAGAAGAGAGAATGGTGACGACACCAAATTGGAACTCTTCTCCGGCTAGTTACTTTCTCTGAATGGAATACAATTCTGAAGACGCGAGCCATGGGTAGGTGGCTATTGGTTTATTCAATGTACACACGTGCACACTGCGCCCGTGCCAGCCACCGTTAGCGGCGTTCTCCACACACCGGTCATTTTCTTTTATAACTTTTTAATAATTTTACTAAATTATCAAATTAATAGACAACTTTTTATATTTTCCTTAAACTTTTAAGGCCAAATTCATGAATAAATTCGAATGTATAAAGGTTTTCATTGAATCAATATTTAATTTGATTATTTGTTCATATAAAACCTAAATACTTAATTAAGTTACTTATATAATCATGTTTGTATTTTAATATTTCCTCCTATTCTCAAACTCACCTTGTTTTCTTACCATTCTCAAGTTAAGACCACACACAACACGTAAAAGATATGTTTATGAAAAGAAAGATATGTTTATGAAAAGAAAATATACTTATCTACTAATTTAATAATATAAGTTAATAATGAGATTGAAATGTTAAATTAAAAATAAATTTAATTAAAATATTATTTCCTTTGATGAATGTCAACTTATCACTGCTAAAATGATTGTTAATTTAAGAATTTACAGATCATAAATCTATTCGTTTAGTATATTATTATTTATTTCCATATCCACGTTTATCTTTGTTATCCAGAAAACATCGATGTGCTTTCCAGAAAGATGATTCCGGAAGGGTGAAAATTGAGAACTATAGCTTGATTTCATTCCTTCCTTCATAAATTGCTTTCCTTGTTGCGACATTCAACAAATTCGGAGCTTGATCTTTTGTTGAATTTGTAGAATATTTTCCGTAATTCTTGGTGTTGTGGATGTGATGTGTTTTTTGAGAAATGATATTTTGAAATACATATATCTTTTATGTTAATTTATATTTTTTTCTTTTTATTTTGAAAAAAAATATAAAAAAATATTTTTTATGATAAATTATCTTTCTAATATATATCAAATAAATATAAATATGTGTCATCTTATCTTATAATTACTTTGTGTTTTTTTGAAGAACAGCCACAGTTTTAGTGGGCAGCTGAAGAGAAAGAGGATTGGGTTAAGATTTAAAACTTCCATGAGGATACTCTTGACGTTTCCTTATTGATAGGGTGCATGTCAAATTTGAGGGTGTGCTGGAAGCAATTTGCTAAGAGGAAATTAGTATCTATGAAATAGAAAAAAAAAAAATAGTGTTTCATCTACACCTCCAACATCTTATCTACACTTCTATAAATTCCATTTTTAATCTTTTAATATCTCAACTTATATTTCTAACTTTTCTAAAAATTTTATTTTTTAATAAATATAATTTTATTTTCTTCTCTCTTATTAAAAACACTTTAATAAATATCTTTTTATTCTTTTCTCTTTCTTATTAAAATCCTTCTTACACTATCTTAATAATAATCTAATTTAATTTTAAATATTATTTAATATAATTTTATATTTTAATAATTATTAAAATATGATTTATATTATATTAATAGTTATATTAAAAAAATAAAAATTAAAAAATGAAATTATAATAATAGTAATAATAATAATACAAAATTTGATTTGATATATTAAAATATATTAAAATATTAAAATAAATTAAACAATTATTAAATTTTAAATAGAAGCAAAAATTTTAAATATGGTAACAGTTTTGTTTTTTATTTAAAATTTAATAAATATTTCATTTAATTGAAAATTATAATATTATTTATTATATTTTTATATTTTAATAATTATTAAAATATAATTTAGATTTTTATAATAGTTTTATTAAAATTAATAAAAATAATATTAATAAAAATAATAATAATAATAATAATCAAAATAAAAATAATATTTAAAATCACATTTAATATATTTAAATATGTTAAATGATATTAAATTATTAAATTAAAAAAAGTAATTATTAAAATTAAATAAAAAACAAAATTTTAAAAAAAAGTTAATCGGATATTCCGCTCTTATATATTATCGGATTTCTATGTCCGATTAACAAATTTTAAAGTTGTTTTTTATTTAAATTTTAATAATTATTTAATTTAATTTAATATTTCAATATAATATAATATATTTAAATATCTTTAACGTCATCTTAAATACTATTTTTATTTTTATTATTATTACTTTTATTTTAGTTATTTTATTTTACATTTTTAATAAAATTATTATAAAATATAAATCATATTTTAATAATTATTAAATTATAAAAATATAATAAATAATAATATTATTTTAAATTAATTAAATATTTATTAAATTTTAAATAAAAAACTATTAGCATATTTTACGCTATCCAATAAACAAGCCTTTTAAAAATTTTGTTTTTATTTAAAATTTAATAACTACTTAATTTATTGTAATATTTTAATATAATCAAATTTTATATTATTTTTATTATTATTTTATTTTTTATTTTTTATTTTTATCATTATTATTTTTATTTTATTTATTTTTTTAATATAACTATTATTATAATATAAATCATATTTTAATAATTATTAAAATATAAAATTATATTAAATAATATTTAAATTTTAAATTAAATTAAATTATTATTAAAGTGGTGCAAATAATTTTAATAAGAAAGAGAATAAAATAAAAATATATTTATTAAAAAGTAAATTTTTTAGAAAAGTAGAAGATACAAGTTGAGATGTTAAAAAGTTAAAAATGTCATTTTTAGAGAAACATATTAGATATTTGGTATGTAGGAAGAAAGACTAAAAAAAATTGAAGGGTTTTGGTTTAGGAAGAAACACTAAAAAAAATTGAAGGGTTACAGGATTTGTGTTTCTAACCTGAAAATTCAAAATTTAAAAATAAAAAATCTATACGTATTTATTGTGCTGAAATTCATACGCTCAAATCAATGTAACGTAATATGCGGTAATAAATATGAGAGTTAATAAATTGTGTGCATCTAATAAAGTGTATTCTATTTATTGTAGTTTAATATACTTTTACTTTAATGAACTTATACTAATATGATCCTAAGTGTTTTAATTGTTACTTAACCTTCATTTTTCTCTATTAACATGATATTTAGGTAAGTATTTAAACGATGTCCGTTTTGTGCGAACAACGTCATCTAAGCTCTATCCTATATATTACACATATCATTTACAAATGAGTAATTTCATCATAAGGAAATAATAAGTTGTCTCTCCCAATGATGGTATTTTATGCCTTATATCATGTATTGTTGTTACAAATTTAAGAAAGATTTTGTTTTTTATACTAAACTAGTATTAGAACCGTACCTACCGTTTTTTTTTAATTGAGTAGTATGATTATTATTATATTTTAATAATATTATTTAAAGAATAATTCATTTATATAATTATAATTAAATTTTATAATTATATATAATTATAAATATAATATTTAAGTAAAAAGTTTGATAATATGAAAAAAATAATTAATTAATTATGAATATGATTCTTTAATTAAATAATATTATTATTATTTTAATATTGATTTTTTGATGTCAAAATAATGGATTATACAAAGTAAAACTAATAATACCAATAATAATAATAATTGTAATATACTGTACTAATAATAATATTATTAACAATAATATTAATACTAATAATAGTAATGAAAATAATTATAATCATAGGATTAAAAAATTATATTTAAATAATTATAATAACACGATTACAATAGGAACAAAATAATGATTTGTGACGGTTTTCCAAATCTCACTATCAAAAGATTACATGAAAATTTGCATTTTCAGTTTCCAAAACACATAGTTTTCTCCACTAAACAATATTTATTGAGGCACCGTCAGCAAAGGTTTGATGTTGCCCATACATTTTTGAAAAAATAAATTTGAATAACTATCAAAGCAAGCTCTCAATTGTCAGACCGACACATCGGAATGGTTAACACGTTCAATAAACCAAGAGGGGATGAATTGGTTTCTTATCCTAAATCGTTCTTTTAATAATTTTCTCAAATAAATATAAAAATTCCTTTAAACAAATTTAAAAAGTAAGGAAGAGAAAAAATTGCACATATAATTTTTATCCTGGTTCGAATCACATAGATCCTACATTCAGTTGTTAATCTCAACTGAGAATTAACACTTCACTGGCACAAACTAACAAATTGTTACAATCACAGAGAAAATAAACAAGTTGAAGGTTAAAACACATCTCTTGTTACCTTAAGAGATGAAAGTCAGTTCCCCTATCACCCATAAGGGATGAACACCTCATCTGAATCTTCACAAAGGATGATCACCTCCTCCGAATGTTTCACGAAAGATGATGGGCTTTTAACTCAACAACAACAACACTCAATCACACTCATTGTGAAAGTTTTCGCTCTATGCTAACAACAACAACACTCAATCATACTTCCTGTGAAAGTTATCGTTCTATGCCAACACACAAAGTTCTCAAAGGCACAACACAAAGCTTCAACAAACCTTAAAACACTTATCACCGCACATTGCGAATAAGATTTTCTGAAATACACTTATTTTGTATTTTCGTATTTTAGAATGAGAGTCTCAACCTAATTTATAGAGATCTCACTTTTAATGAATGCACGACGGTAAAAAAAATTGCTTAAAAATTCTCATAATTGCTCGTGATAATCAATTATGGCTGATAATGGATTCTTTATAATTTGATAATTAATTATCATTTTAACGCAACGCTTAAGGTAAACAAAACATAGAATCAAAGATAAACCACATCCTATACATAAATATACTAAATTACAAAAACGTTAATATAAAAATAAGTCTTCATTAAAAACTTCATATAATAAGAACACTACATAAATCTACTAAATTACAAAAACATTAATATAAAAATAAGTCTTCATAAAAAACTTAATGTAACAAGAGCACTTAATACTTTACTTTGAAACATCCAAATTTCTTACCTTTATGCTCACAAATAATTTATTAATAGTGCATACACACATTTTTCAGAAAAGTATATATCATATATAATATAATATATAATAAACTATTATATTAGTATGACAGAAATGAAATTATTAGACACAATGTAATATAGTCATGGAAAGTACAATTGACTTCGATATCTAATACAATACTATTAGTGAAATTACTCATATTACTCATCCATCCTC